TCAAAGCTGTTCTCTGGGACAAAATTGGCAATACATTACTGGTTGCTGCCTGTCTGTCTGGCTATTTTGTTCTTTTTTGGTGGATCTTATAAATCACCTATCTAATTACTGCAATATGTTTTTTTGTATTGTCATTGAACCCTTGTTTAGAAGTCGTGGTCCGCTTATTTTATTGTTTTTCAAAGAATATTTTTTCAAATTAATTTTGAACCCTGGGTATACTTATTTTTAGTGTCGTTTACTATTTTGAATCCCTTCGTATCGTAGTGATTGGTTTATTAACTTTAATATCATCACAAAAACAAACTTATGTTATGTATTTAGTCAAGTGTTTCTATTTACTACCAACCTCTGCTGTCGGTGTGCATTGGCTGACATTTGAAAGGCAAAAAGCACCTCGGACAGCCACTGTGATGGTAGGATACTCCATGGCGTGACTCATCGTTTGCATTGAATACCAAGGAAATAACCTTCTGGTTGCTGCCTTTCGTGGGCCTCGAAGCAAAAAATTGATCACTAATCCTCTGTCAAATTACAAAACCCTCATACCTCTCTCGTCTGTCATAAAATTACGGAATCAATCCCCCAAAACAAATGGTTGTCTCAGTAAGCGAGAATTTACAAACACTTTTATTTACTGACGATAATTCAAAAGTGTTTCAGCATAGCTTTGCTGGGTAGTTCAGATATTATGGTGACTTCAACTATCCACCGTCTCGTAGCTGGTAGGCTTATGCCTTTAAAGAGGCTGCAATATTTGAAGTCGTAGTTTTGCGGACCTAAGGACCAAAGTTAAGGTAAGTCGATTTAATTGAGCGGTCATCGCATTGTGAGAGCTGGGCAAGCGCAGGCCGCGAAATGACACATCTGATGACCCTATGGCCTGTTGGTTCAATCATCACAATAAATTACATAATCGCTATTTATCTGGCGCTACGTACATTGCTGTTATTAATTCACGAAGCTAGAATTGGTAGCAATTTACTTAATTAATTTTGTGCAAATACGGGTTGCGATGTCTTGCATGTTCTGTAAAATCCACATGGTTGCAAGTCTCAATGATATTCACATTTTTGCATTCATCTTACGTGCGTTTGCGTGACCGGAGACAGCTTCTGATTCTGACAGTCATAAAAAGACTTTAAACTGCTCGCTTTCTCACTCCAAAAACTGTCACAGAGGAGTGGGGTTACACGGTTTGTAATCCGTCCTCTCTCCTTCCCCCGGAGTGTTCTGCCGCTTTCCAGTGGCTCTCCTTGTGCACGAGGGCGCGCCAGTTGCATCGGTGACTCAGTCGCTAGATGAGTCTCTCGAAACTGAGGGATCGTATACCGTTACAAGCAGGCGACTCACTGCACCAAACGAAAACACTACAGCCCGAGACAAATACAGACGAGTCAACTGGTGGTGATTCAAAATTCATCCGGAGCTTCTGGGTTAAGCTCGCGAACAAAATTCACTTCAAAAAGTTGCAATAAAGCTTGTATAAGAGGATTACGATAGTTCGGAGCATCAATCTCAGCAATCCTTGAGAATTATGGAAGTCTAATTAGGGGTATATGCGTAAGCTCTGATTTTAGTTAAAGCATTTTTCAAGACTAGCAAATGGAACAGCATTAATCCGATCGCAGTGCCAACTTCAATGTTGAATTAACCAAAAATAAAATACGAATTCGAGGTAATTCTCATACACGGTATTGTCTACACCAATTTGGTTTCTTAATGATTTTGCGAACTCTAACTTCGTCGTTCTTACCAATACTACAACGATCCGTTTAAGTTATTCCACACATTCTCTCCAATCTGCATGTAAGTGATTCACTTACTCACCTAGTTGAGCGTTCTCAAAAGGTAGCTCGAGAAAATGAACCAACAAGTCGGCGTCATAGGAAAACTTTGTTTTCCCCAAGGAAGTGAATAAATCTCAAATTTCGAAGGACTTACAGTAGGTGCAACCGAACACTAGAGTAAAGTAACCTCCCTGAAATCACAGTTTGTCCAGCTTTTTAAAAATGCTTTAAAAAACCAACATGCACCGGCAAGGTGGCGAAATTTTGAGTGCCATCCAATTCGAGGTTGGATTCAATCCAGGGCCAAGAGGGCCTGCACTTGTTTCAATTTTTGCATCAATCCTCACTTAAATACCGGCCCAACACGCAGACACGCAGTACGCGAGGTAACCATTACTCCGATAAAGCCATATTCCATTATCAAACTCAACTTTTGTAACTTCACAAGTACCAGACTGCAATGACTATATCAATTCTACACAATTAAGTTCCTTTCAAAAAGTGAGTCGCGTAAATAATTGAAAATACATAAGTTACCATGTTCATGGGCAAAAAAGTAATTGCACAAGTTGTTTAAAGCTGAACCTCAAACGGAAGCAGCAAAGGGGTTACAAATAAGAACACGCGAAAATATTCCAATATCAATGTGTAATTCACACTTGCACATTTTATCAGATAATGAAACAAAGTAGTTAGGAAAGAAGGGTGTGTGGGACGAAACGCGGAAGCATTTGATGTCCGAGGGTATGCATTGGAGAGGAGAGTATAAACGAGACGACAGTAACAATGCAAAAGGAAACAGGTCAGAAAGTGAAAGTATCCTCTGCTATCCGCAGCGTCTGTTTGATCCTTTTGAGGCTAAGCAGCGGTTCCAAATGGATATGGCAGAAAAGCGTGACACCGGCGCGAGAGAGGTGGAAACGGGTCCCAGGCTTGAGAAACATTGCGGGAGGACGCGAGGAGCTCTCAGCGTCGAGGAGATGGAGGCGCCAGGACTGTGCCAGTTGAATATGAGCTAGCGATGACGATCTGTAGCATCCAGTTGGGGTTTCGAGTGCTGTCCTAATACCCGCAGGTCGTCGCGGCGCCAGAAAAGCTGCGAGGATGCTAGTACTGGGTTCCTCACTACGGAAGACGGAGAGAAAGGCCTCAGGAGACGCCGAATGAGCGAGACAGACAGCTAGTCGCGAGAGAATGGTGTCTGGTGGGTGGAGATGCTGCAATCGAGTCAATCGTAGGTACTTTTGCAGAGGAACTATGATTTTGGGAAAGAGGATCTGGGCTGCTTGACGAGGTGGCATTGTCCCTGCATCAAAGCAAAATGTTTGTGTTCTATTTTTTCGGAAAATTACAACTCAGGGTAACATTTGAATTCACTCATGAAATTTTCATCCCCTAATACTGTCCATTAACCGATGATGAAAATTGTGTTGACTTAACATTCGCGACTTCGCAATTGTGTCGTGGACACGCCACTGAAAGCATGGTTTAGACAATTTATCAACACACCATTTGAACGAACGAACACTGCACTTTCAAGGAGGCTATTTGGCAACAGCTCAGATGCAGATGACGTGGATATGGCTTATAAAAAGGAGTTCGCTGACGTCGCTGAATGTATGCCAAGTTTAAATTCATAGTCCAAGCATTTCGAAAAATATATTGTATAGACAAGTAGAGTAAGCTTGGTCAGATTTACACGGGTTGAAGCACACATTTAACCCAGCCTAATTAACAAACGAATCTGTCAAAACCCCTTCTATTTCGGGAGTCAAGTTAACAAATTGTTAACCGACGATACTACAGTGTGGAATATTGGCAAAAAAGATCGCCAAAACTGCAAGGTATGAAGGTATACTTCACAAGAGAGCACATCGGAGCAAGCCTGGTGAAACGGCTCAACTTTGGCCCTAGGTGTTCAACGATTGGAGATGATATTGATGATGGTCATTGTGGTGGTCAAGACAATTGGGATGCTGACATCTAAAGCTTAATATGCCCCAATTCATATTGGAAAAGACGAGTAGGCACCATTTCGGTTACCTGAAACACTTCGCCAAGATATCTTTTCTCATATTTTCACCAATACCACCTGAAGAACGTGGTCATGGGGCTTATTCCCGAATGTATTCACATCTAAACGCCAACATCTGTGCAATAATCCTCGCGCTCAGAATTGTAACTGATAGAGACCATAAAATTACTTCAGGAACTATATTGACATGCATCTAAAGAACTGGTTCTGTACGATTTAATCTTTACAAATGAAAGGCTTCAAGTCCTAGACAGTCAGTGGGTGAAAGTTACGTGGTGACCATTCTATTGGTAGCGCCTTTCTTCGCCCAAATCGATGATTCACAAAAGAAATCCCACTGCACATGCACATTGCATGACTATAGGGATGCGCGCGGTTCGACTTCCTTGATGGGCACAACCAGCAGATTTTGACGATTCAAATGTTATGCAAAAGTCTTAAAATGTAATGCAAAAGATGAGAGCCCTGCACGACGCGCACACCGATATGAGTATGTATATTCGAATAGTACGCTAAGACCTTTTCAGTTGCACTCACAAATTGATCGCTTCATCATTCAATGGCGCTCAATCCATGTTACTTATGGCACAAAATTCGGGTGCACAATAACTACAAAAGAAATAACGACTGCTGCGACCTCTCGCCCAAGTTACTAGCAGTGTGCCGGTGGAGATTGTGGTACGTGTGGTGCGCACGTGCAAGTTCGTAATTAGTCATACGTCACCAACGCAGAAGGCTCCAGACACAAAATAGCCGAGCGCACCAAAACGCCTAAACACCTCGAGTCTGGAACAATGTGCCAGTACACTGAATGGTATGTTCAACGTCTAGACCCTTCTCCAAAGAGCGTCATCCAAGAGTGTAGTAGACCACAGCGTATATGCAGATGACTGATGATGTGCACAAAAAAAAAAAAATGAAAATACTCTTAAATTTCACTCTAAGGTTACACAGTATTTTACCTGCCGAACAAACCTTCCATTATCAATAAAATGGCAAATTAACGGTAAGCAGAATCGATTGAATTTTGAGGATGGACACAATGTAAAAATATAACTACATTTATGTGGGTTTGTGTGTACGTGGAGAACAATAGAAACCTAAGTTTAGGCAGGAAAGTACACAGACCACTGCAGCCAGGCACACGAATCTCGTCAGGTGAAACAGCCTCGACACCGGTGAATGCCTTCTCGGTGACAATTAGTAGTCGCATCCGTCGCTTGCGCAACACCCGTTCGAACTCTGCCTCACTGTGGTAGCGGTCTGCGCACAGCGCACCTACATTCCGTCCAGTCTCTCCGCAGTCGCTACACCCGCCACCCTTCAGGGTTGTGAGCGACTCGACGGCAGTAGAGCAGGCCTCCGGACCGTCAAGAGAGTAGAACTTGAAAGAACTGCCACCACCTGCGCTGCTACAACGCTTCATCTGGTACTCTTGCTCCTCCTGTGTAAGGCAGGAGAAAGAAGCCAGTTTCTGACGCAGTCTCAACGAGGCTCGGCGCGAGCAGGTCTTTGAATTCTCGTTTGTCGGCGAGTCCGGTGAGATCCGAATGTATCGATACGGTGCACTGGCGACTTGGGCATCGTATAGCTATAATCGAATAGTACGTTCGATCATCCCACTATGTATTGCAAAAATAAATGTTTCACTAGGATTGCTTTTAATGGGTTTGCGATTATTTTGGCAACCAGTTGTTTGCGAGTTTCCCAATCAATTATCATTGCAACCCACACGCCATGACAAAGGGGATTCCAAGCATCCGCTATTCGACTTCTTCCGTAATGCTGTTTTTAACGCACGTGGAGGGAACTCAGGCCCTGCGACACCATGGATCTAACAGGTCCCATGGGGCAACTCCTGCAGCAAAGAGACCTGACACCAAGGAGGGACCTAAGCCTCAAAAGTGTACACATCCTGTTGATGAAGCTGAGATGCCAGGACTGCACTTCTCAGTGGTATCAAAAGCGTAAAACAAGCATAATTTCATGCCAAGTTCTAAAGCAAAGAAAACAATGAAAATGAGATCTTAAATGCTTGTTGCCGGTGTATAGAAAATGAGGAATAAAAACAAGAATGTGAATGACCCACGCAATTGCACTCCTTCGAAATTATTTACTCTAAGTTATTCTCACATTTTATAAAAGTAACCACCTAACGGCACTTGATTACAAACTCAAAATTGATGTCCGGTTGGAACATCCTGCTTCCCTTGATTTATCATTGGCACAAAATTACAGTGCTCCAACTGCGATGAGTGTGGAGTCTTCTAGATGACAAGTGCCTCAAAGTTTTACGCTAAAATCAGGCAGCACAGTCGTTCGCGAAAGTCTTGATTAGAAAGACATGAAGTGCCGACTACATTCACGAACGTGGATTACGTGTTTGTTTACAATTATCTCAGACGGCGCGTCTCATCGCATTTTATGGCCGTTTCTTCAACGACTCAGTGACTAAGTGCGAATTAATGAGGATACGTAGACTTAAAATTTGAGTCACTACCCGTATGAAATTGGTGTTCTTGTATATAAGCATGGTCAAGCCTCAGGTTATATGCACCAAATGCGTCACCTATGCTGATGAAAGCATCAAGAGGTTGTAGCTTATTTCTATTAGAGGTAGTTTAGTCCTGCTTGCACGTAAATGATTGTTCTCCAGAAAACAGAGAACTTTCATGAAGCTTCTTATCAGTGACATTGAGGTGACCGGTTGTAAACAGTGAATAGTTGAGGTTCCGTTGAGAGCACTACAGACACTTAATAAGTCGTTCATCCTGTTTGGGCACAATTGTGACTGTTGATACCCTGAATCATGGATACATAGCCAACAAATAGGCGATGCAATTTCGTCTCAAAATTTTTTTCCAACCAGAAACTGCCCACCGAAATGACCATATGCAAACACTCTACTATGAGAGCCATTTTTCAGGCAATCATTTTCCAATGCGGTACGAGCTCGGGATCCCCCTTTTTTGCTATGCTTTCCTCCAAAAGCAATCAGTGTATTCCTAGCCGCACCGCTCGAATTCCACTTGTATTTCCAACTGCAACGAAAAGGTGATAGTACTTTGGGAAAATGTCAGGAAAACACGAAAGGAGCTGCTAGACAGCATCTCTCATCCCATTTTTCAGCAAAATGGCATAAAATCTTGTGCTGCCTTCCGCGGATAAAAATTTCTTTTACCCGTTTCAGTTGTTTAGAAAGAAGTTCTTACACGACGTTGAGTCGTGTCGCATTTAGGTGGATCTAAACCGTGCTTTTTGTCTTCAGCAAGAAATTACTTGTTAAAAGTCTATTTCTAGTAAGCCAAGTAACAGAGCAGTGATCTGAGAATGAAATTATGTGTGCCTTAGAAGTATGTGCAGAACTAGCGAATGGATAATTTGGGAATAACTAATGCCATGGCTGTTAGCTTAACGTCGAAATGCAAAATTAGCTTTGCATTACTAGTTAGTTAATTACTAAACACACAAATACGACGCGTTTACATAACGTTATTGGTCAATGAGTTTGACGCCCATTCTCTTACCTTTCATTTGGTGGGGCTAAAATCAAAATATTTCAGCACATTACACCCCAAGGAAAATAGGGTCCTTCTGAACGTAGTGGGTACTTGGACAACTCACCCTCACCAAAAAGTGCTCAAATGCCTTTTTCGGCTTCTGAACAGAAGTACCACTTCATTCGTACAGCTAACAACCTTAAATTACAACAAGATGATCCGTATTTGAATGTTTTGAACCTACATGAAGAAGGATAATGGAAGATGCAAGATTTTGGCGCGATAGACTGACTCACATCTCTGCCTTATAATCCACAGAAGGGAGAGTATTTGACCCCAATGAATTGGGGTTAATTGCACATGTCCGCAAAGGCAGCTAACTTTTCCGACAGCATAATTGTTGCACCTCTTGCATTGCTTGGAAAATGCACACTTGGTGAATATGTGGTCCATTGCATCGCTGCATACTGTACAGGTACCGCATAAGTAAAAACCCATCCTATCAAAGTGCCTCAGATGGAAAAATAACGCCGAAATATGATTAACCCAGATAAACGTATCTCAGTACTCAAAACTTTTGCTTGCACGATGGACTGTTTAATGCGTTGAAATAAGTCTGAGAACGAGGGCCTCGCAAGCCTGACGATTTTAACTCTGTAGCCAGAGAGGGGCACCAACTGTATCCGCAAAGGTGGCATCGAAGTTCAGCTCTATTCCTCCGTAAGTATACTTATTTCATATTATCTACCAACTATACCATTTGTCGGTTTGAAATGGTATCCAATAGTTATGCATTGTTGGACTATCAATGTCATTTACGAAATTGACGAGATTCGAATCTTTAATGTTGAAATGTTGCAATATCCAACACTTAGTGATGAGTGATTAAGATTCTTAAGGGTAAAAGAAATAGGTGCTGATGATACGACGACTCCATAAATCAATTCTTAAGGCTTGACCCCGGCTGACATGCGTTGTCAAAGTGATGGACGAAGTGTTGAAGAAAGCGCGCACCGAAAGGAAAATGCAATGACTAAGGCGAGAGCACATGGGCTTTTAATAAAGAGCAGTCAGTCGCCACTATTCTTTCATTAGCCCAGCGATATTTTGACGAGGCGGCTTGATGTATGTGTACTAACGAGCAAGCGGGCGGGCGGACGGACAGACTGACGAACGCGCACACTTCTGTGCCATCTGTGCGAGTGCGTGTGCGTGCATGCATGCGTGTGCATCCACTGGATGAGTCACTTGGACTAACGGGACGAGAATTGTTTGCAGAGGGGAATAGCCTCCACTTCACTTTCTGCGCAATAATGAAAACAGAAATCGAGTCTGATGAATACGATCGGAATAGGGTGGAGGACAATCGAAATCCCACTAAACATACCGCATAAAGAAAAAGATCGAAAATGTCCTAAAAGTAGAGTAGTGGGTCTCTCTACCACCTTTTTGTAAATGAGATTTCCAAAACCAAAACACAAATAGCAAGTTCTTTCTGCATAATTGAACAGTGGATAAAGTGTTCGAAATGTTTGTCTTAAACTCCAACGATTCTCGCTTGCTTAGCTCAATGGGTTTAGTGGAAAGAACTATTGACGATCCCAGGTTTAAAGTACCAATGACCAAAACAGCATGCTCAAAATATATTCGGATACATTACAGAACTTAGCAAACTGTTCCACTAATGATACTACTTTATGTGCCGGAAGTGCTTCCACCCTTTCGATGTGATGGAAAAATAGGCCATGGATTCCGAGCCTTTACTGGTCAGACATACGTATTGACGGAAGTTATTTGCAATTAATAATAAAAGTGGACGCAAAAGCATGCTGTTTGGGTAAACGACAGCCGTAAGCATTCTCACAGCGACTCCACTGAGTAAAACAATCCTTAAGTGCCCAATTAATTTTTCATTAATTCACCCCTGGCACTCCCATATGAACTGAATCCTTCGGCAAGTTCATTAATCAGACATACGTTTTTCTTGAACAGACATCAGAAGTAAAGCAGAACAAATCTGCTCGAGGAAACTGTAGATCTCCAATGGTGGACAACTGATAGTAAGAAAATAATGTTATTTGGAAACTGTCTGTCAGTGCTTGGTGTTGGGCTACTTTGGCGTCACTGTTGCCCGTAATTAGGCATTGGTATTGCAGATGCATGTTGCAGTCTGGAAAGGCAGCTAGCAATAAGGTTGCATTACAAACAGATGTAGGGAGCTACAGGTGGGGAAACAAGCAAAGACGAAAAATCTCGATGGGAAGCATCAAGTTGTCGCAAATTTGATGCGCACTTGTAAGGGCGATGCAGGGAAATTGTGAAATGACACGCATAGAACACCCACTTAAGAAGTAAGGGGCATACGTAGAGCATTTTGCATGCTCTGAAAAATCCAGACAGGCAACTTTCTTTGCGTAGGTAGAGAAAAAGGGTTACTACTTCGGCTACATCACCAATCATCCAAGTTAGAATAAAAATGACTAGTTCCTCCACTGGCAAAGATAAAATTTTGAGGCTGATTCCCTGAAAACTGTTGCTATAAAATTAAAACCAAATAGGCGTTTCCAATCCAGTCACTGAGATTCTTTATGATACAGTTGAAGCCCGTCAAAAATACCACAGGTATACTTAAATCAGCTTTGTTGGAGTGATGGGGAGCATAGAAAGAATAATAAAATATACAGAAGCGAAAAGTTAAGCATCATACTGTGATCTGGTCACTGCACTTCACTGCTAAAATCATGAGGACTCCTTTGCATCAGTTTGGATATATGCTTCAGCACTGCCTAATCAGCCTTCAGCGTTTAGGGGTAAAAAAGTGTGCTTCGCAAAAAAAACAGTGACTGCGCTAGAGGCATTAAATACTTCCTACTCTGATAAGAATAGTTGTTCAAAGGTTCCCTGTGTCCTAAAAGTGATCAATCGCTTGTTTGTATTCACGGGTATCGTTTTGTGTCATTTTAACTTACTTTAACTACCATTCACATTCATGCAAACGATTCTCAGTGCTATATAGATAAATCTGAAGAAGCAGAAAACTTACTGGGAAGTCTACGTTATACTTTTGAATGATCTGCATCGCGACCATCTCAAGACTGGCTCCCGTCAACCGGTAGGTTTTGCTCACCCCGTCCGGTGAGCGTACAACCTGTACAACGTAATGCCTGCCCCCGCCCTTAACACAATTCCACGTGCGTAATGCCACGCCGACTAGATGCAGCAGAAGAAGCGTATCCGTGAAGGTTAGCACGAAGCTAACGAGGCTGGCGTAGGAAGGGTTGATGGAATCATTCTGGTCAGAGGTTTCGGCAGGTGCCATAGCTGCTGGCAGTCCAAACTGCGCATGGAGGTCTTGTGAGACTGCGGAGAAGTGCTCCGACCCCGACTGTAGCAGCCATTTCATCCAGCGTGCTGCGAACGCCACCCAAAATGCGCAGGTCGCACCGACTCCAAGAAAATTTACTGACAATGTAAGTCCAATCAGCCGCTCGGTAGAAGGAAAGGGATGTAGAGTTGCAGGATCAAACGGAGAGAAGTCCAAACTTATGCATTCGATAGCGCGAAACTTACGATTGAGAAGTGCAGACACAGAAAGTGGACGAATACGTAGCCTACGGCAGACGCATACAATCGGCTGTACGTAGAGCTTCCAAGTGGTCAAACACAACAATATTATTTTCACGGCAATGGAGAGTAAGTCAGCTTCACAGCGAACATTACACGAATGAGTTATGTGCAATCTTGGTGAGAAGGCTAAGTTTTGGGCATCCATTCCGCCCAGAGAGAGGATCAAAGGGATCAAGAGCATGAGAATGGGTGAGAGAAGGCACCCTACTGCCAAGAGGCAAATACATGAAAGACCTAAAATTCCGCAATAATTCGGGCTGATTAGACGCATACGAATCTGTTCACTGTCCGACCACTGCTCCTCCTCCTGAGAGGCCAATAAGTTTGCGCCAAACATCCCCGTTATGGGCCTTCGTCGCCGCAGCTTTGGTGATGAATTAGATTCGCGGTACCAGTGCTTTTTCATGGTCGGCAGAGAGTTTGCATGGCCATGGTCAAAGCCGTGAGTCCAGGAGCTCCGATGGGAATAGTCACAATTGCATAAAGGTGAATGAGTGCTAGCACTGCGCCGATGCTCTTCGCTTCGACGTCGACTCCATCGGTGCCTTCCGTGCCTACCTCCACTCCCAACGGCACCACCCATTTCGCCCTCGGACAGGCAGTGAGCAGAGCTTTTGTGTGAGCGTTTCCGATGGCGCCCGAGCAAGTACCGCTCACCCGCACCATCCGACGATCGTCGTCTTCGACAGTGATAATTTTTGTCGCTACAGTCCGTGGTAAGTGATCTTTGAGAAACTGCACACACAGTAGTTCCCTCGTCAGCATCTGTTGTGGCTGCCTTTACTCCGCTCTCGCAAACGGATCTTCCATTTTCCCGTACATTTTGCTGTGCTTGATAACTATCTGCACAACTAAGAGTTGTGCTGCTACTCCCATTTTCGAATCGGCCACCTCCCGCCTCATGATGGAGGAGGAAGGCGCTACTCGGGTCCTGCCGCCAATAGCTCGTGATGGCTTTGCTTGGAACGCGATGAATTACCGTGACCTGAAGAACATGAATTATAAAACAGTTCCTACCTCAGAGCCTGGATAGGTGATGTCATCAAACTGCTCTGAGAGCGGCGTGTGAGTGTCTAAAGGAAAGGAAGAAACAGGATGTTGAAACGATCCTTCTCCATGATTGAATGCGCTGGTCTGAACTTGAGCATCAGATATTTGAGGTGTGAGTCCAAAGCATGTTGGAGGATGCATAACTCTAAATGAACTCAAACTTCAAGCTTTCAGTTGACGCCAGCCTAAAATGAAAGACAGTAGTTAGGATCATTTAACTTGAAAATGCAAGCTGTGGTATCAATTTAAGCCATTAGATACGGCAGAAAGTCACCATGTCAGTTGAAAATATAAATGATGATAGGCAAGCCAATAGAATAACACCATACATTTAAAATAGCTTTTATTCGATCCAAAGGAATGGTTTTCCAGCAAATTAGCATTGCCTTTAGGGAACCACTTTGACAAAAAGAGTAGGCCATACTACTATGCAGTTGGATTACATAGGTTTGCACTTATGCCAGTGGAAAAACAAGTTGAATTAGAAAAATGCAATCCTATACCGCACAATAAATGCAAAACAAAATACATTGAGTTCGAGTGCGGAAAGTGGGACTTTCATGAGCATTCCATCAATGGTCCTAATGGTCTCGTTTTAAGAAAGCGGTAACAAAATACGCCAAAATATCATACAGCTGATTGCATTAAGATGGAGATCAAAGGCCTCAAAAAAATCACTTCCAAACATAGGGGAAAGTAGTATCCACATCTGTAGCTATGAACATATGTTCAACTACAAATTCAATGGTTTACAGGATAATCAACAATGCACACTGCTGAATTTTGTTGAGAACTTAAGAAATATGACCAATAAGAAGCTTCAACTTGGCTTGAATAACGCAAAAGATTGACGAGTATAATATGTTGCAGATACTGTTGAATTATTTCTATCTACCCAGAAAAAAAAACAGAGAAGTCTGCATGGAACACGATGTAACTATCGAAAAATTGCTGCAGTCGAATCAGCGGACGATAATACTTAAAACTAAGCCTTACTGCATGAAACACACTATACTGTTAAAAATTATAATTCGGATGTAGTAAAGAAGCATCACTTTGCATATCCTATGGCTCTCCAATACCAACAGGACTTTGCTATTAAAGGAAATGGTTAGATCTTTTGTCACTGGATTCTGTTGAAACCATATATAGCATTAGACAGCTCCGGCTTGTAAGACAGAGAAATGAGTAGACATCTCCAACCACGTTTTTGCTAAGGGACTCCTTATTGGAACAAGATGCTTAATTTCCCTAACCTTTGCTGTTTTTTCTCTGGTCTGACAGTGTGAATACGTGCTTATCCTGAATTTGTTTACAAAACTACACTTAAAAGTACCAAGTTTAGGCATGAAACTATCATAGACATAAATAAATTTGCACCAAAAAGTGCAAACACACCAAGCACCACATCGGACTGCAAAGCTCAATTCCAAACAGGACACCAAGGCCACGAGGACTTCAACGAGGGATTTAGGCACGTGAAACACTTAACCATTTAAAATTGTTATAACAACTATATTTCCTGCACATATAATTGGGTATTAAATGTCATTAGCATGCTTCCACACCAGAAAAAGCTTATACACTTTATTCACTCTGTTTAAAAATAAGTTCAATTTCTAACAAAGCTAAAGATTATAACGAGTTTATAAGCCTGTGTCTCTTGGGAAGTCGAAGCCTTTTTTCATGAACAGGCAAACGTTTCAATTTTGCCACGCATTTTGAAGCAATTATTCCAACTCTTCCTTGATAGGAATTCCCCCTTTTGCCTGCCCATCCTTGCGACCACAATCTCTAGCACAGGAAAGTTGATTGGATAAAGCGGAGGTAGATAAGATATGCTTATGTGACTACCGGACGTTTGGCGGTCATTTTAGAATTTGTCTGACCCTGTGCACGTGAAATGGCCTTTGGATCACGCTCAGATCCCATTTGCCCTGTCGTCTTCGAAACGCATACGTTCAACCTCACTTATGCCTTCTTCCACTCTATAGGAAGCCTCGCGACGCTACATTGGTGGCAGTGGAAAGCAAACCCGACATTTTTTTGACGATTTTTAGGTATAAAGTGTTTTTGAAGACCTTCTGCCGCAGCCAAGGTGGGGTCTCCCTCTGCGGCTTGTTCTTCCTTGGTCGTTTGTTAAAAGCGACAGTCTATTGCCCACCTGACACCGCTGTCTTACCAACATTCTACGTTTACGTTGCTAACCTTTACCAGTTAATCGACTGATTTCCAGAAAAGAACAGTGCGAACAAGCCGACGAGCAACGGTTCGATTTGATGATGCACTGGTTCAATACATGCAGATACCTCAAAATCGGGTTCTCTTGGCCGGAAAGCCGAAACCTCTCTTTTCATGACAAGAGGGTTATAATCCAACCAGCAGACAAGATTGCAAAGGAATTCTATCTTTTAGAGAGGTAATCCAAGATTAATACGTGCATTTTGGCGTTACGTACCGGGAATCATGAGGTATACACGTGTAGATGTAAGTCTGACTATCGAAGTGCGGCAAATGAAGATACAGGCAAAAAGGACGTAAATTGAAGGAGGCACATTTATCTTGGTGACGGAGAATCCCCGAATCCTTCACAACAAAAGGATTTGGACGGACGTCCGCATTTGGTTCCATCATATTCCTGTGTTCCTCAGATAAGCTATTAACAACTGAAGCGAAACCACCGTGAACCATCCGGTGAAGTTTCGTGTCGCAATTTCTCCATACAAACTCCGTGTTTAGGTGTCGGAAATGACACTATGGTTCTCCTTATATGCGAGACATTGGTTCATCTGTTTTAGACCAGAGTTCCACCCTCTAGACTTGGAAGTAATTGATGGTCAACGTTCGGCGGTCACTTAAGGATTTGTCCGGCCCTCGTACTCGTGGGATGCATGTATTTAGCCTCACTTACTGCCCTCACGTCAGATTGTAACATGAACAAAGCAGTACACTGCTCCGCTCTTCCTTTGAGCGGCGCCCTCGGCACTCCCCTTTGGTGCACCTCCCGCACCAGCCATCACAACATTTTCAGTACTACTACACGAAAGCACCCACGAGTCAACCGCGCCAGTCGACGGATAGTATCAGACCTACCTACCTAGTCTCCTCGGCAGCTTCAACTGGATCTGGAGTTACGTTCGGTCTGACAACCAGATTCGGGGACGCATGCACCTGTTGACCATCAATTACTTCCAAGTCTAGAGGGTGGAACTCTGGTCTAAAACAGATGAACCAATGTCTCGCATATAAGGGGAACCATAGTGTCATTTCCGACACCTAAACACGGATTTTGTATGGAGAAATTGCGACACGAAACTTCACCAGATGGTTCACGGTGGTGTCGCTTCAGTTGTTAATAGCTTATCTGTGGAACACAGGAATATGATAGAACCAAATGCAGACGTCAGTTTCGAAACTTTTGTTGTGATGGTTTCAGGGAGTCCCCACCACCGATGCAAATGCGTCTCTTCCACACCGTAGGTACATGCAACAAACGGTGCGTGCTAGGATAGAAGTCGGTGAAAAATTTCGGGTTCGCTTTCTGCAGTAAGTGAAGCTGGATACATGTATTCTAAAGAGGACAGAGCAAGTGGGTCTGGGCATGGCATGAAGGCCAGCCCACGAGTACAAACAAACAGTCAGATCCTCAAGTAACCGCTGAACGTCAGGAAGTCACATAAACAAAGCATTACACTGGGCTGTCGGGGTTTTAAGTTATGCCAATACTCTGCTGCCTCTTAAATTCGCCCAAGATACGTGTGTTTATTTGCTTTCGGAGAGTTTCTAAGGTGCTAGATGGGTTGCAGCAGAATGCAAACACGATCATGAAAGACTTTCATCCTGATATCAACCGCTACGGCGGAAATCTCTTTGCTGCGTTTGGAGGAGGTAGCAACGCCCCTAAGTACAAGGGCTGGGAGTGGCGTTGACTATTTTGAACCGCCCTAGGGTGCCAATGGTAAGGGCGGAACCGATAGTAATTGACCACGGTTCTTCCTATCAAATGTGTATCAGTGTGTTGGAAATGGGAATTAACGCGAGATTCTGTTACCTTCAGAATGTGCCAACCACCGTATTTCTTTTTATAAATCTACTTTTAGGTCAGTGTTCCCACGTCTGCCTGTTCAAAGACGTGATAGTCAAACTGTGATAGATGATGGTGTTGGCTCTTGGGTATTTCACTCGAGCGCTAATTTCGCTGTAACGAGGATAAAACTTAATAGCAGAGCACTATGTTGGCCATTTCAGCATTTACTGGTCGGGCTGCTCTTTGGGTTATGCTGGAGTGTTATATCAGCTTTTGTTTTCAAGGAAATCTCGAGACTGCGTACTAGCATTATGTAACATTCATTAAGAGGCACAAAATATTAGTCAGCACATTACCCCGGAACTTCTTCGAACGCATCAGGTAAGTAAAACACCGGCAATATGCTAGAGGGTTTAGGAGCTGCTAGCATAACCCTGAAATCAATTCCATCGACAAAATTAAAACTACAGCCCCAAGCAACACAAACTGAGCGTAACAAACGTGTGAGTAGAGTGTTGTAATAGCCGTACCGCTTAAAGTTTTCTTTTAATTCGTAATCATATGTTATATGCCAAGTGTATTACAGGTGTAAGGAAGAGCAGACGCCATTGTAATGACCTGAAGGCCACAGTTTGAGCTTGAGCGTAATCTGCAGAGACTTGGCTGCTAGCTCGTCGACGCTTGGACCCTTACAAAGTTAAAAGACAGCGATTTTTCCCCAATATTTTTAAGTTTTTTTAAATCGAAAGTTCGAAACTGTTTGGTAAAACTGTCGCTGTAATATTTCGAGACTTCCCCTTTGGTAAAAGGAAGCATTAAGTAGACCCAGATGCATGTTTTCGTGGAGAAAGGAAAGAGATTGGGCTTTTGCCTCGCCCAAAGGCCAGCTCACGTGCACAAGAGCAAGACAAATACGAGTAAAAAAGGTATTACAGCAGCAGATATACCTGAGGGAAACGCAACTTTGTGTAATGTTCGTTAATTGTTTTGTTGGTCACATAATGTAGTATGACATGATCTAAAAGTGGGGTTCTCTAGAGGCACCATTCTATGTCACAGCGTTTGTTGAACTTGGGGGACTGCCATCCAGAAAGGCGTAGTAGACCAATCACGGATGTTTAAATTAGTGACAAGGCATCTGCATGTCTAAATGACCAAATTTCTGTCAGCTTTACTTCCTAGCTAGTAAGCTGATCATTCACATTAGTAATGCATCTAGTTTTTGTAGACATTTACAACCGCAACTACTCATCAATGTCTTCCAAGAGCCATTTCTGCGAAAGTTGTTGGACTCAAAAAAAATTGTTGGTTGTCTTAGAATTTTCTATTTTTTATATCAATTGGAGACTGGTTTGCTTTTGAACAAAAATTATTATAACACTTTCCTTTTTCACGTTAAAAAATGTACTTACGCATCATCAACATTTGTGATCGTTTTTAGCACCATGTCATTGACCTCAACAACATGTCCTCTGCACCTGATCGTAGTCGGTCCCTAGTCGAGCGAGTCATTAACTGAGTCCAAAGTTGTTTACGTTAGGCATTAACGGGACATGCATTTGGTGTGATATAGGCCGATAGTAGCACAAATACTAAATATCAACAAACGATTGAGCCAAAAAAACTTTCAACCAGGGCGCTTTTAACACCATTTATTTACCGATGAGTAGTGAAAACGTTTAAATAACCGAATCCTACTTGCTGCATATTGCAAATTTCGGCTCTGCCATCCAATCACTTCTAGTTGTAATGCTACATCTACTAATTTGATAACACAGGTGTCTACTATTCCGTGAAATTTATTGTTATTTGTTAATTATGACAAATGCATTGCTCTCCAGCCTCATTTTTATCATTTACCCTTTGCTAATTATTCAGCGTCCTTATCTACAAATAATTCCAACATTTTGATGATCCTGCCTGTAGTGGAACCATTTGGTTTAAAGGGGGAGGCAGTCGTCTATGCCTTGGACCAGTATAATGCGCTCAAAGTAGAAGGTCAATAGGATATGATGAAAGTTAAAATGTCCAAGGGCATTAAGGAGGTTGGGTCTTATAGTTATTTTCTGTTAACAGCAGGTGCTTTTACTTGTAATTCATGCGGAGACGACAACCCCTTCAACAGTATTTTCCACTCTCCACTTAACAATTTTCTTAAAAGTCTGTTGTTTGCGAGAGGGATTATTTTACAGGGCTGCACAAATTAAATCTATTCCCGTTCCAAACTCAAGGATTTATTCTCCTCACGAAGTTCATTCTGAATTCCTGCCTCTCATTTACAACGACTGTATAAATCACTTGATTTTGTTGAAGGTTATATCGAAAAATTTGCTTATAACTCGTTCTACCATTTCTTGCCACCTAATTACGTTTGGATTGTCTAACCCGTCATAGGTATATTTACTGTCTAGACCCTGTTATCATACACCGAACCAGTAAGTACAATAATTGAGTTTAATGGTGTCCTGACATCGCTATAGTCGGACGTTTTGATGAGCACTCACCAAGTCCATTTGCAAAGTTATCAGACCCCTTGATTGCTCACACTATCAACTGCAACAAAGGCTGTCTTTTGAATATATTTGCACCGCATGCATATGCGTATGCGACTGTTTACATGCATTTATTTCAGAGTAGTGCCGAAGTCGATTATTCTTCTTCATCCTCCCCAGGCCAAAGAATGTGCATATCCTTGTACACGTACGTGCGCAAGCGCATATTCACTAGCTCCCCCACCGGACCCTAAGTCATGTGTCATTGTGTATGCGGGCGGGTGCGTACACGCATCCACTCATCTCGCACGTGTGGGAGTCACAACATACAGATAGGCCGAGTGCATACCAAGTCCTGGAGGGAAGTTTCAGACCTGCACGCCCTGCGGCCTCGTCAACCTTTCATCGCTTGGGACAAACACTGTGTTTTGTGAATGGTGCCCGTAGTGGAATATTGCTCAAACCTCTCCGTGCGTTGATCATGAGGGGCATAATTTGGTCAAATAGACATACATGACCTAATGTCATGGCTAGACGTTTTGAGGCCTATAAAGTTCTGATATTGGTGAAATTACTGTACGCGGGAGCTCCTATTCAAAAACCACCCGACAGACCCACCCACCATTTTTTAATGAACACTGGCAATAACCTCACTCGTTTTTATGATACTTTTATCTCGCTTTTACCAAACTTAATAGAAGATTTATAAAAAATTTGCTTATAGCACAGAGATAACTTCAATGAAGCACTTAATGTGGGGCAATCCACTTGACCAGAAAACAGCGATCAGCCGTTTGTGAAACAATGATGGGGCCAGCACGACCAATTACTCCAACAAAAATTTACTGCCTCAGAATCAGGTCTAGGCCAACGACCACCCAGCGTTAATCCTCAAGTTGAAGATATCAGTGAGGGCTCATTGTTTGTTATTTTTTGCATCAACAGGCCTATCCACCAATCACCAACGCACATCGAATGAGCAACCAATCAAAGCAGTCTCAGCGCTTTGGGCGTAACTTCTGTGGCTCTGGTTGGTCAGGTGGCATCGTGCCCCAGATACCTACTGCACTGTGGTTGAATCGATCAAATTGGGCTCGATTTATGGTGAACGCGTCTGACGGTATGTGCTCGTTGCAGTGATGCTCGTAGACAAGGAAAATCAGGCCTCTTCTGTATGTTCTGACTATGGCCGACGGCTGCTGGAGGCTGTACAAGAGACGCCAGAGATCAACGATTTTCGCGCTCGATGTCCGGGGAAATTTCGATCAATTTGCTTCTTACACTTGTCGTTCGCGATTGATGTTCCTTTGAATTTATTCCACGAGTGTAAAAACTCTGATCAAATTGTCAATGAACCTTCAGGCAGGCGAATATTTTCACGTTTGTGGCGTAACGGAGGTAGGATCCCTGAGAAGTATATTCTAACTTTATTTTAATGCAACGACTCGTTGTCTTTATGACTTTACAATGATCTCATATGCAATGCCTCAACGTCGTCTTGGCGACTGCAATGTTCTAGACTCTTTTAATAATGTGATAGCCTCGTTTTATCAGTGTTAATGAACTGGGCAAAAACGGGTACTTCTTTTCACCCGTCCTTTCATCCCCTACGTCAGAGAATGGTGTATCTGGAACTGCTAGTTATTGCGCAACTTGAAGAGTCTATCTGGATTTTTAGTTAAATCTTATTTTTCCATAAGCAGCAGGAAGTACCGGCTCCCTGAAGGTGCTTCCTGCCCTAAATTTCTCTTGTTTATAGTAGATTGATGGCTCAATTTTATGACATTCAGGTGCTCCCTCACCCTCGTCCATGTGCATCTGCGAGACGAACACATTAGTTAGTATTGTGTTTACTAAGGGGATGGTCTCTTCATAACCATTCAGTCGTGCGACATTTCGGAACCCACTTACAATAATCTTTTACAAAAGTATTTCCTAATAGATTGTACTACAATTGAGGTTTCGTGGAAAAAAACGCAGAATATTCTTTGTGAATAAAGTAGTGTGAAACTGAAGTCTCCAGGGCAATAGGTATACAAACGACCTAACTTTGGTAAGCATTTTATCTGAGCAATTACTTTCCGCAGATTTAAGCTCGACAGGCTTTAGAACTGTGGATTTTTCTCTGCCCACTTTAGTACAAGTGATATTGTGGGCGGAGTCTTAACTTTTAAGGTATTTTTGATGAACGCATGAGCCCCTAGATGCGCTTTGTATTGCGGCAAACTCAGTGCTTTACTCTACGTGTTCTAACCTGTATCCTGCTCCACAGCAAGCTAGGTGAGGATAATCTGGACAATACCTTGTTGCTCCTTTAAGGTGATTCCCAATCTTTATCGCTCACTTCTGGTCTCCTCGAGAAGCTTATTTACCTCATGACAATGCTGGAAACTACTGGCGGTAAGTAGGAGCGATACCAATTTGCGAAATGTTCGCAACCCTCCTTACATGGTTACTTCCCTCTTAGGATTTCAAGCTGAGGGTGTATTCCGCAAAACTGGAAGCCTTGCCCAACAGCGATCAGTCACTGAGTCCCTACTAAATCCGGACTTTGATTGTACAACTTTTGCTTGGACTAAATTCTCGCCCCATGAACTCGCAGGGGCGCTGAAATCTATCATCGGTCACCTGGCCCAGCCACTTCTCACTTCCACACTGACGCCACTCTTTATCGAAGCCATACGTATGCATTCCGACCATGTCATCAGTATTTTGCACTTCACTCGTAACTTCTTATAATAGCGTCTACTTTAGACTTCAATTACTCGATGTCATCGACCCAGACGCATTTAATGTTGGTTAATTTACCCTTTTTTTACATTCTTCACGTCGCAAGTTGTTCCCCAGGATTTACAATTAGGAAATATTACTAGTAGACCGTAATCAAAGTGCCTTTCCAGTTGGATGTTCTCGTGCGATTGTGAAAGTCGTGATACTCTAAGACTTTTGCCATTTGTATGGCAATTGCTGCTCCAACGGTTGAATGTTAGAGGCTCACCGACCAAATCATGCCCCACTTCGTAAACGCACTTTGTCTAGACACGTTGACGTTGATGAGTAACCGGTGTCTGAGTTGTAGACCTCCCAATGTAAATGCTGAACAATTCAAGACGTCAGACTACCAACTAAGCCATCATTATCGTAGCCATATACTGGATAGTCTGCGTTGTCAGAGGAACTACAGTTTGACCTCTTAACACACCCCATTAGGATAAACAAGCTGCCACCCCGTTATGCATAGTTTCCCTTAATGTTTTTTTTAAAGGTCTATGGGGACGTGAAGCAGGTACCCGAGAAGGAAGGGAGAATATGTCACCAACGGATTTGCTTGCTTATGGCAAGCAAGTGAAGTCATTACGTCTCCTGGTTCAATTGTTACCTGCACCAAATCGGTCCTTGTTGAAACACCTGTTGCGTTTGCTGGGGCTTGTGTCGGAGCACGTGATGCAGAACCGTATGACTGGTACTGCCCTTGGCACGGTTTTCGGGCCCGTCTTTGTGCCCTCTGTGTTCGGCGAGGTTATTAACGAATCGCAATGCAAGGTAGGGCCTACGCTACTCGTGCCACTTCTTGAGATGAATTTAAGTGTCTTCAGGATGGGTGATGAAAGTTAATCCCCACAGTGGTTGTAATTGGCGTGACTCGACCAACTATTTGGCTGTCAATATTCAACTGTGATAAATGGAGTTCAGCAGGCCATGCTCTCGACCTTTAACCGCAATATGGGAATTTTGTAAACCGATAAACCGCGCCTGCTAGTAGTGGAAAACAAGCGCTCTAGCATTACGATGAGTAGCCATTTTAGGTAATTTGGACTGTGTCGTTTTTCGGAATGCGAAATTGGGAAGGCAATAGGGGATCCACGAAAAAATAATTTGGACTTTAACTCCCATTTAAATGACGTCAAATGCCCCTATTCCCTGTATGTCACGGTCGACCCGATCATGTGCTCAAATTGACGATTTGATATCCTGGTCAGACAGTAACTCCCTTCATAAATCATTTGTGTGCAGAACTCCAACAGCTTCAAAAAGGACTACCAAGAGGCAATTTTGCTCGCAACTCGACTGATTGAGCTGAACGATAAGTTGTTTCTTCTGCCAACTGCACTTATTGAGGATATTCGCCACAACTCCAAAGAATCTTTAAGCCAGGAAGCGGAAGAAAGGCAGGAAGACAGAGATACTTTACGGTGCTCACCCTATCGGTGGGGTAGACACTTGCGGCGCTCCAACTCCCCTTTGCAAACCTCGGTTCGCTTCGCATCTCTCTCCTCCGTGTCGACCACCGTCTCTTCTTTGCAAACCTCTCCGTCGCTGAAAGCTGTCACCGGAGAAGTCTCCAACACTACCCCCTCTGCTACCGTCATTACCACCGCGATAACTTACCAACAATAACTGTGTGCGTGTCCATCTTGCTTCAAATAGCTGTCTTTGCGTTTCAGCGTTTTCTAACCTCGTGATGCACGAGTTTAAAGTCTCAGAAAATTGGTTGAAGTTTTCAAGTCATTGACGCTCACGTACCAGTTGCTGATGTCCTTCTGTGTAGCAACTCTTGTCTTATATACGCAAGCGCCCCTTCTTCCTTTTCAGGCCTTTGCCAAACTGCTCAGTTTCGTGTAAATAAACCCGCACCTAGCAGTGCCGCAATTGAATTGGACGCCTTCACCTACCTACCTACCTATCCTCCTCCTTTTTGGGTTCATATGGAAGCGCCCGTTTGGACAGCTAACTTGTTTTTATTTATTGTCTTGCATTCATTCCTGTTTGTGTACTGACTTTCCGTTGTTTAAACTGTTTGAAATTGATACTAACAATGATACAATTCCGCAATTCCTTTTGACACGCGTTGGTAATTGTACATAGGGCTTGGAGACATGGCGAAGAGCAATCCATAGGTTTTCATACTCAGCTACCGGCTTAGTGTAAACAATCTCCATGGCGAGGGGAGAAGCCAATTAGCAGTGGAGTATTTCACTTGCCTAGAATACCTTGATGAGGCATTGTCACACACATGTCGGTAACCTGTGGAGGGCTCTTTCCAGACAGTGGCGAGACCTTCACGCATGGGAAGTTTAATCCCAACTTGAAGCAGCAGCGTGCAGAAATGTGTAAGTGTTCGTGAAGTGGGATACTGCGGCGTGGTGTGGCATACTGCGATCCAAAGTAAGCATTTTGACACCAGCTGCAAGCCATTAGCTGATCATTCATATAAAATGGCCGAGCCCTCAAAATACGCGTACGTTATGAACTTTGACTGGAATATTGAGTAAAGGGATAAGGATGACGCGGCTAAGTAACAAGTAACTCACCGTCAAACGGTGTAAAACTGATACATAGAGCTAAAACCTTCAAGCTGTGAGCCAGTATGTAAAAAAATTGTGGGTGGGAATGCGAAGGAATTTGAATCACTTGAGGATCGAACGAACATCATTTGAAAGCTTTGCGATCTTCGCGTCTAATTCTTGTAATTGTTGGGCCATGGCGTTTAAAGGGGTGGGAGGCCGCCGTGGTTGCCGATAGTTGCTGGATGACTGCATCCTGGGTCGACGGAAGTTAAACTCACGCATAATGGAGGCGACGGAGAATTGGGGACTCAATCGGTCGAGAGCATGGACTGCTGCAGGGACCATCCCGACCGCGGCGTTCAGAGAGGCAAATCGCTCATCATCGCTCAACGCCGCATCTATCCTGGCGAGAACCACCCGGAAACAGAGAGGGCCCCAGGGGATCAGTAGAGCACTGATTCGTCTCCACCATTTACAATAGTCAGGAGAGAGTTTACAAAAGGTAGCTAAGTCCTCTGAAAATTGCGGAGTAAGGAGAAAGGTGTGCCACCTATTTGCAGCCTCCGACCAGGATATGGTAAGTGGAAGGGGCTCAGGCAGCGGAGAGATTACAAGACTCTTGCGGATGGGTCTTGGTAATGGTTCTAGAGTTTGATTGTAGGCCATCAGAATATGGTGAGGATCCTAGAACAAAAAGAGACCCCAAACGGAAGTCGATAGAGTTTAAATAAAACCTTAATTTTTACAAGACATTTCGAGGCAGAGGCATTCAGTAATTCAAATCTCACCAATGGATCACCTCCAAAAGGATAAATTGTAAGTAGGTTATGAAGCAAGTGGTATCATGCGAGAGCATTATATGGCATCAACCTTGACGAGAGTATGCAGAAAGGTACTAATGATCTTGAGAATCTCTAAGGATAACTAAACTTGTTTGTCGACTATGGAAGGCAAATAAAATAGCCAATAACAGAATGCACAGTATCAATCTAACCAACGTTAACTTGAAATACCACAAACATGTGACAGGGATAAGGAGAACACAGAGGTACTTATTGCAACTCACAGGATGGGTAAGCCCCTGTTTATCCCAATGCTCAATCAAGAAGAGCAAGGGTGTTAGGAAAGTCGCCTGAACCTGGCTCCACACAAACTCTCCCAAAGTTGAGACTTGTGGAAATAAATGTGGGAAGGTGACTGCTTTCTCAGTCTCCACCTTGGTTCCACAACTATGCTTGCAACCAGGAACAATTGCGGCCTTCTTCACCAACCACTGAAGACCGGTTTGGAGAAGAGAGTTCCAGCAATAAGCTATTGTAGCATCCCCATAAACTAGAGGCGGAAAGGCAATGCTCTTCATAATGTCGGATTGTTCAGTAAACTCCCTAACATCAGGGGGAAGAAGACAAAGTTGTGGGATTTCGAGATGTGAGAGACCATCACCAACCACAATAAGTCCAGTTTCTTTCCCCGTGAGATGGTCCAAAGAGGAAAGAACAGTAAAGTTAGCAAGATTTTTAAGTTTGTTGCAAAGCCATTGAGAAAAGAAGCAGTCTGTTGCAGAAACAATGACTCCAATGCGGACTTCGCCCGAGAGGTCATGAATGGGATCAAGAGGTCGATATGCGAGATTAGCGTCGATCTAGAATATGAAAAACATTGCATTGCCCAATTCTTTACTGAAAATGCGCCACATGGAATGAAGCAGCATTTAATAGCATGAAAATAAAGAAAATCATGGCTTTGAAAGTTAGGAAATGAGCCATGACCGTAAGTCCTTCCAATCGGCATTCAAAAAGAATTCGAAGCGAATGTGACGCATTTGCATTTCTTAGAACGAAAAATCAAGCGTAGCACCCCAAAGAAACTATCCAATGTTCCACATTATCAATTTGTTGATAGTAGGGATCAGTTTCTGCATCATTCATCTTAGATAATGAAATCAAACGTGGCGGTAGAGGAAGGGAAATAGCCATGTAGTTTTAAGCATAACAATTAAGCGGATGTATATGTCCTCACGCATTGCAGATCAGAGAACATCAAGTTGGGTTTGAGTGTAGAATGAGAAGAAATTGTCAAACCGAGAAGTCATTTTGACCAAAAATACTTTGTTAACAAAGGCGCAATTAAAACTATTGATTATTGGATGCTTCACACGTCACAGGGTAGTGGATACAAAAACGTGTCCGATAACAAGACAACATACGCGACCTAAATAGTCGTTTTGCTTTGAGGACAGTTGCCTCCACCACTGTAAATCGTTCATAAAGTAATGAGTCATGATCGTGGATATTGGAGAGGAACGCACTGTGGAATTGGAGGCAGAGAATCGGGCCCGTTTAAGAGCATGAGATTCCTTTTCCGGGAATGCCCAGAGCCAAGTACGCCGGGAGCCGCAAAGCCTCGCCTCGCTGAAGTAGTCGACCCACAGATGGGGTGCCGGAGCAGCCGGGAGAGAGTGAAGGAAGTCGCAGATGGAAATATTGTTCTGCTGCCGCTGCTCCTGATGGATAGCTTTCCAGGAACAGAAGGTGCGCTTTAACAGTCGTCTCATGTTCAAATGCTCCGAACGAGCTTTCTTCAGCTCGAGTGATGCAAACTCGCTCAAAGCTTCCCTCAGAATGTCAGTAGAGATCACCTAAATAAAAAAGATAACTAAACGTTAAGACAAATTTTGCTCAAAAAGGAGCTTCATATGCTGTCAACTTGTAGCTAGATCGGTAGAATGCTAAGATTAAAAGACCAATTTTTTGCCGAAGGGATATCTTTAAGCTAGTCGAGACATTTCAAAAAGGTCCTAAAAATTTACGCATTTATGGATATATCGTGACAAAATCTGTCGAGGAATAATGAAGGACGAGAGTTTAGGGATTTGTAAATGCATTTTCAAAAATGGAGAAAAACAGATTCCTAGAACTCCTACAATCCATGATAATGAGCATTGAAAAAGTGTTTTTACTCAAAATTGGCGATAAAGGTTGGAACAAGCGCTTACCGAGACAACAGTTTCACTCATGATATCGAAGACAATCTCCTGCAGTGAACTATCCACAAAATTCCAAATGATGTCCCTCGTAATTTCTTCAGTAACGGATGACACAAAATCTAGACGAAAGGCGACCTCCTCTTCTGCAACCTAGATTGTGTATAAAGAAAATTAATGAAACATGTAGATATGACCCAAAGTTTGTGAAACGTAAAGATACGACTCACCTGCGTTAAGCATGATTCTATGGTCTCATCAATCATTTCATCAGCCACACTCGCTGCCGCCTTAGTTTCCTTCAACTCTACCAGCGCGACGCTTCGGATTTCACAGTTCAACACCTCATTAAAAATAACCATTAACGACTCCGACTTAGCTTCATCTGAAAATATGGGCTCAGAAGAGTCACCAGTCATAAAGTCAACTTCAAATGCGGGTTTTCTGAGATGGGCACTAAAAGCATCTCCAACATTTGTTTCATCTGGTGACAGTGGAGGAGACCTCAGATTGTCCATTGAAAGGGGAAGTGGTGTGAGGCCAGTTGATGAAGGGCAGTAAGGTGATTCCTGGGTCTCTTGTATGCTAAGGATGCGACCTTCACTGTCAAAGGAGGAGTGAACTGGTCCGGGGTTAGCATAAGAGGGATCAATTGGACCACCGTTGAAAAGATCTGCAAGGCTTCGACCCAAACGCTTACCCTCAATCAGCTGGGAATGCGCAGAGAGGGAAAGGAGGATTACTTAACAAAGAGTAACCTCATGTGGACTTAAAAGGTAACAAATACATACATTTAATGCTCTTCCCTCTTGCCAAGCAAACTCTGGCTCTCGAGGCGGTGAATGACGTCGAAAAATTAGGTCGTCACCCGACACGTGGAGATTCCAGTGCTCACAGAAGGCCTGTGCGTCCTTCCGTGACTCAAATCCCAACTGGCTCATGAAAGTGGATAGTGGAAACTATGTTGAAAAAGCCAATGAAACAAGACAGATTAACCTACCTAGTACCGAATGACAACAGCAATTCATCACAGGAAAATAGAGAGGATGAGGTGAGGTAACGCACCATGACTGCGTGTCTAGGATGTCCACAGAAGGCGGAGGAGAGGGCTAGGAGAGCATGGGAGCGAACCTGACTAAAATAGCGGTGGAGAAGGCAGGCGGTCAAACAGTCTGCCATGCGGACCAAACGAAAGAAACGCACATGGTTGTGTTCCGCCACAGCTGAGTGCACTGCAATCGCGAATTGCACCTCCTTTGATTTGCGCAAAACATCAGGAAACTTCTGTACCTCGCTGAATAACACACGGTGCAGATTACCAATAGTGTTCAACGCTCAGTTCCTGCAATTTTGTCCCCTTCTCTTCCCGTTAGATCGTTGTTGCTATTACTGTTGCCTTCGCTTGTGAGGTATAATACTACCGTAACCACCAGCACATAATTAAGATTGGACTGCTTGTTGGCTGCAAATGCTCTACCTGCCTTTGAGTAATTACTGGATCATATCCGAAAAAAACCGAATCCAGTTTCCTGGCTTATTTTGGTAACCCATTGGATGGCCTCCCTTCAGCGTGCGTCCAGATCAGTAATCTGAACTACAGTCACTTGAACGAAGATCGGACAGCTGTTTCGAGTATTGGTACACGAATGTAGCAATATTAAGACAAAGAAGGGAAGTAACATTAGCATTACAGAACTATATCTCAGACGCGAATTGAACGCAGCTTTTGCAATGAATTCACTACTGCAACTCCAAACGGTCAGAGCATTGGTTGAACATCATCAACAAGGAAATTGTTGAATAAGTAAAACGCAACTCACTCTAGTACGGAGCTGTCGTTGAGTTTCATGAGTATCATATAAGCACGGAATTCCGCTTCACAAGGGCTAAAATCAGCTCCAGCCCCTCTGAGATCCCCGTAAAGCTCCTTCAGAGTTTGGAGGCATTGAGTAAGATTCTCAGAGTTGATTCTAGGATCAAACGCATCCATGGATTGATCCACCAAACGCGCCGCACAGAAAATGTGGAAGCGAGTAATTTTCTCCACAATAGAAACGATAGCAGGTGAACACAAGCGCTGTTGTGTGATATCTTTACGAATGGCACGCGTTCTCGTCCACAAAAATTCATACCTATGACGATTACGGAGGGAAGGACTGGTGATTCAAGACGATACTAAGATAAAAGAAACAATGAAGTCCACAGGATAGGCGGAAGACCTACCAAGGTTTCCAAAGGTTGCCAGTAGTGTCGATTTCAGGACGGTCTGCAATGGCGGACAACAGATAGTTCATAGTTCGTTCCAAGACCTCCGGAGGCCGAAGTTCCCACGGCAGCGGTTCGGCCTGATCGGCGGCCGAGCGGCTGTAGTCCTTCACAGCTCGCGTATGGTCCATTCGCCAGGGAGCAGAGGACAACTCACAGTTTAGACACTCAAATACAGAGACGCGCTGACGCAGTTCCCGCAGATATCTGTTGAAAACCCACACAAACCCGGCCAATAGCTTTCTTGAAGGCGCAAGATTTAAGGTATGGATTCAAAATAGTGCTCAAGAGTTGACTATTTTGTTTTTGTCAATGACAAGTATGGTTTTAGCTCTAGAAATTCGGAGTACTACACAAATATAGCAAAAAAGCATTAACACAGAATACTGCTAATGAGTAAATTAAAAATCAGCGCTTGAAATTTCCGGCCCAGTGCTTAGACTGGAATGAGTGATAACCCAATAATACTGCTAAAGTAGAAGAGGTTATATGTATTTATAGTGAGAACCGAGGTTCAAATCGGCAAAATGAATTGCTTATATTGAAACAAGAGGAGTGGAATGCTTGTGTAGGTGTTTTAAATGAAGCTTAATCACACAACGCACACCTCTCAGTCTCTGGGCACATATCCGGACAGGTTCCCACGATAACAGATTTGTTGTTAGATGGATTGTTGGTGGAATATGGGTTGCTGAAGGTCGACTGCCTGCGTTCATGTTCCGCTTTATCATTCGCCTCAAGCACAGCCAATCGCTCCTGCACTGTCAACGCTGTGTTTGTACAGAGACTCACGTCATCTTTCATTGCGTTATTCTACAGGGGTTGACAAACCCGCAAGGTCATCTTCCAGCTATGTCAATTTAGTGAAAAACAAGTCTTAGAAGGGAAACATGAAAGCTCACTAATCACGAAGGAAAGGAGAGGGAGAGATGATTCTGGGAAGGCAACGAGGATGCTAGTTCACCTCAACGACAAGAACATCCTTCATGAGATCCCAAAACACCAAGAATCAATCTCCCAGTTTCCGACTTCGCTGTGTGACATTCTACATGTTAACAGCCTCAACTTCATCGAGAGACGGTAACAAAAGACCAGGGAATACAAGAGGTTCAAGCAAAGTGGCAGAAGCATAGAGTTGGTGGATGATAATCACGACTTCACAAAACTCAGTAAAACCCTCCAGCAACGTACCTCTTGGGGTAGACTAGATGGTGCGCAGTTCAACTTGAACGTCATCGGTGTAGCGGAGTGAGGAATTCGTTGTTCAACCCGTTCAGCTAGTGAAGTTCGCTTCTTACTGGTTGAACACAGGGCCTGGATAAACCTAGTTGGCAGGCGAAACATCTTTAAGTCGCCAGGTTTAGTAAATAAGTTTAAAGGTTCGGGAAGAGTGCGCAGAGAAGCAGCGTCTGTTGCGATTCCAGACGCCAAATTTGGGGAACCCTGGACATTCTTAACTTGTACATATGCTGTGGGAGAGGTGAAAGATCCAGTTTGATGTGTTTCATTGCCATCTGAAAGCCATATTCCAGGGCAAAAATCTCCTTCGAACGATTGTCCAGAGGTCGGTTGTTCAGCGTTTGATGAGCCACTTTGCTCAATTTCAAATGCAGACTCACTTGACGTAACACCAATGCCTGTTTTCGGTTTAGATGCATTGAGAGGGAACTCAAAGAGACCGTGAGAGGAGGTTGATACTTTGGATGGAAAGAGGGACTTTGACGTTGATAGTTCGCCGAGGTCATCGAAAAGACCTGCCCTTTCGTGCACACGACCTATGTGAGCAAAACAGTTAGCTAGAACTCTTTATGCCGAGATCAAGAGTACACACTGCAGATTCTAAGTAAGGTTTAGTTCAAAGATGAGAATACTGAATTCATCCTCACCAACGAAGGGCAGAAAATAACTAGAAAGCTAAAACCTTTGGTAATGCATAGAAACTCTAACCAGTGTAAACAACGCCCCTGCCGAACAGTCTAGAGAACTGCTTCCTAAACCATGTTCAAATGCAAAGTGCTTCCTAAAATCCAATCAAGAACAACCACTTATGATGCATGGAAATAAAGCCAAGGTGAGGATGGAAGTATATAAGAAAAAGACACATACAAGTTAACTATTGAAGGTTGTAGGTTGCGTGAAACAGTAAAGGTAGAAGTGACAGAAGTAACACAATCCCGAAGCAACGTGTGAGTAGCTGGTCGGGACAAATGGATGCCGCCTCGAATGGACACAAACCGTGAAACTTGAGCTATATAGATGCTCTTCCTCAGCCATGTTCAACACATTTTAATCTAAGCTCTTTGAATAGAAGCACCCACCAAGAGAAAAAAAGCTTGGACGCCGAATCTGAAAACCAGACGCCTTGAAGGGCACTGGTCGTCCGTTGTGCATACTCGGATCGACAAGCGTATCTATGGAAGCTTATCAACGTTCAAAAGGTTGCACTTCATAGGCTAATGAAATCTATAACCTTGAACGTCTTGAAAGCGGTGAGTAATCTTTATCATGGCCTCTTTTATGGAAATATATGGCGAAAACAAGGTCGTTTTCATGCCAAAATTATGCTTGAGCAAACTCCATGTTTGCACTTTGTGCCTAGCGCTTCGATACCGTTTAAAGGCTGAAGAAGGCGTAGTGTTTAAATAGGGTACGAATATTTTTAATGAGTAGAAGGTGATAACGGCTTTTAACGTTGAAAGAGCTGCCTGTCTACCCTCTGGTACCTGAACCTCAGACTTCAAGAGACAGTTGGTTGCGGATGATTTATCGGGCATTTGTTATTGGGAAGGATGGGGAACAGGGTGCAGATGAGGCGAGTAGGAGGTATCAATTAGAGGGAGACTCCACACCGGCTTGACGACGTGATTTGCGTTCCCAATTGGTTCCCGCCTCTTACCTATAAAAGTACACTGAAACAAACTAGCATATATTACAGGAGTAGCTCAGAATCCAGCTTATATATCATAGGAATCGAAATCAACCGTTGTAGTTACTGCCTGTCTACACCCTCGTCCCTAATTCTCAGACTTTAAGAGGAAGTTGGTTGCAGACGATTTATTAGGCATCGCTGTTGGGAAGGATGGGGAATAGGATACACATGAGGTGAGTAAGAGATATCAATCGGAAGGAGGCTCCTTGCCGACTTCACGCACGTGACCCACACTTCCAATTGGTCCCCGCCTCTCACCTATAAATATCCACTTAAACAAGCTAGGATATATTACACAGCCCCCTTCTCTTTCAAGCACTGTCCCCGGTGCTGCCCAGTGGGATCCAATCGGACGGAACCTCTTTTTCTGATACCGCATAGACTTCGTCTTCGTAACCTACTGAGGGTGGACCCGTATACGGCCTAATCTTGTTATGGTGTACTGTTTGAGGCCGAGCAGCTATCTTGCGTTCCGAACGAGATGATTCGTGGGCAGCAGGGCTTTGATTATCCGGTAGGGTTCCTTGCTCCAAGGGTGGTAGAATTTCCGATGGGTTCCTGGCGGGGGATTGGTCTATACAATTGCACCAAATCGCCCTCTTTAAAGACGTTTGTTCGGCTCTGTCCATCGTAGGATGTCTTTTGCCTAGCGTATGCTTTCTGCAATTGTCTGCGCGCAACATCAGAAACTTTTCTGAGGTTTTCTTTTAGTCGTAAGACGCACTGAGGCGCATTA